GTTATAGAACCACTATTCTCACAGAATAGAACATGCACCCATTGTCTGCTGGTTGCTAAATCTTATTATTGAGACATATAAGTTTGGACCCTATGTACCAATCTTCTGGTTTTCTGATCATAAAGTTTTTTTTTTCACCAGATAATGTGAGAACAGAAAAATTAATTAAAAATGCGAGAATGAAACATCTATATATAATATATATTAGTTGAAAACACATTGCAATTGCTCACATTTACTAATCATGCATCCATACACAAAATTGGTTGCATAGGCAAACTCTCCTCCACAGCATCGAGAGAGACGTTATTAAATAAAATCTTGAAAATATGAATTTAAAATCAAATAAAAGCTCCCTAAATTCCTACATTATTTCAAAATTGGTCGAATAATTTTTTAAGAAGACTGAGCAGCATTGGCACAGATGGGTGGATTCTGCTTGCCAACAAAAGTGGGCTTGGTGTTGATGCATTTAGTTGTGATAGGGCCTTGATTTCCGCGGTATGCAAGATCAACATCTCCCACCTCCACATCGCAAGGTGCGGCCTTGCTGCAAACGAGCGACACTGCGACAGGAGTTGCTGACGTGCCCTTAATGTTTTTTACGGTCATTTTACTGATCTTGATGAGAGATGGAGACTGTACGTAAACAAGAAAGTATGAAATATTTATCATTAACTTGAAGAAATTAAGGTAGTAATTAATGGATAGAGATTTAATTTATTTTCACTTACGTCTAGTTTGCATTGATTCCACGGGCAATATTCTTGATCAATGACGATAGGATTGTTAACGTTATCCATAATAATATCTTCGTAGTGCAGATCTGTTATCTGGAGCTTTGCTGGGGCAGAAGGCCATGTTTTCACTCTAATACCATTCTCTGTGCCAATGAATGTGCAGTTCTTGACATATATCCCCATCACATCTTCTTCGGTCGCACCCTTTCCAAGACTTCCTACACTGATGCCGTGGCCAGGCCCACAAGTCACCCTTTCAATATGGAGTTCTTTCATACCATCACCAACAGAGATGCAATCATCTCCTGTTTTTATAACGGAGTCTAGGACATATACTCCTTCTGACTTTGCAATATGGATTCCATCTGTGTTAATACTATCGGCCGGTGCACTCACCGTGAAGTGTTGGAATGTAAGATTCTTACACCCTATCACGTTGACGTGGAAATCTTTGCTGTCTTGAGTTGTCACGTCATGAATGATTGAGTTGGAGATAAAATTGAGGCATAGATTCTGTAAATATATATGAAATCAATTACTCCTTTTCTTTGAATACCACTTACTAGAATCAAGTTAATTAATCAATCTTCAGGATGAAACACACACACACACACATTCTTACCAAAGGCAGTTTGACGCATTTGGGATTTTTGCCGCAATCGTTTTTGGTCCATGCTTCTCTGCCTTGGCCATCAAGAACTCCACCACCTGATATCGTCAAATGGTCGACATAATTTATGGTTATCCAGTTTTCGTTCTTGTCGGGCAGTAGAGTATAATCTGAATGGGCTCTTATGGTGCCTTGGACTTGAAGCTCAATAGGGGCCTTACAGGGGCCTACCAATTTCACTTGATTTAACAAAAATGTGCCTTATGGTACCACAACTGTGCTTGGAGTTGCAGCCGCACATGCCTCTTTCCAGGCACATGATAGAGCCTGTCGTATATTTTTGTGGAAATTGAGTAAAGTAAAAAGAGTTTTTCAAATATATATATACAAGACACCTATGGGATGAATAAAAGAAGGAATTTTCGACCTTGACCTTGACACATTTAGTTCTTTACATACCAGGTCTATATTTGCATTAGGTTTGCCACCGTACTTTCCGATATCAAAAGTTGCAGGCTGCTGGGCATTTACAATGTGAGCCAACAGGGGCAAAAACAATAGACTGAATTTCAAAGCCATCTTGATCACTTTCTTTGTACAACTTAATAATGTATGTTGTCTATGAATTACTTCAATTTATAATGTGAGAGGGAAGTTGTGTATCACATATAGTCCTACAAAATTGTCGGAGTTATTTTATAATTTGACAGTTTCTTGGAGGATCCTATGTTGTTGGCGTTAAACATGTCTTTATTTTCTATACTAGAATATTCCTACCTATTTTTGGCACTTGAAACTTGGGAGGCTACACGATTTAAACTAGTCAATAAAATTCAAATATCTTTGTTTTTAAAGGGTGAAAATTGCTCCCAATAGTTGTTATGCCTTGCTTAGTTCCAATCACTTATAAAAATAGACAAGTATGACCAATAAAAACGAAAACGAGAGTAAGATCCCTATAATCAATTTTAATGTCTTAGCCAAACACGTCACTTGTTTTTTTTTTTTGGTTGAAAAAATCATTTAAGTTTTTCTGAAAAAACCATCTAAAATAACTCAAACCAATTAAGGATTAGATTCCTAAGTGAGAAAGAAACAAATATACAAATCCTACCTAATCTCACTATTCAGTATTCATAAGTGCAAGCATGAATTCTTCATGAAACCAAATGGAATAAAACCATCACACTATCTATAATTAGAAATATTGCAAACTGAGAGTGTGGAATGCAAAATTGTAGAATGTATACTTAAACGTATCAATAATAACGAGGGCCTTTTACCCGATAGACGTGCCTAAACGGAAAACAGTGTGCACCTCTTACTTTGAAAAATGGTATTTCATTGATTTGTGTTTCGCGCAAATTGTCTCTAACAATTAAAAAAGGGATCAGACGATTGTATAAGAGACAAACCTCTTGAGACAAAGTCCCAAAAAGGGGTGCTTTATTGATGAAAGTTACAATTGGAAATAGACAGAATGCCTCCAAGGGGCGCAAGCACACGAGTACTAAAAATGGATAATTTAAAGTTAATCT